ATTCAGACATTCGATGTATAGTTGAATATCAAGATAAGTTGAAAATATAAATCATTATCTCTATTCTAAATTGAAACCTTTTGCTTGTAACATACATATAAATCTTACAAGCAAACTGAAAAGCCTAATACAGTTGACTTTTGAATTATGCAAGTTTTAATTCAGCAGTTTCCCTCATATGACTTTTTCCAAGAAATATATTAATACGACTATTTCCACAGGGTTCATAGCCACATTTTAGTTAAAAAAAATAAGCACCTACAAACACTTTTCAAGCACATTTTAAGGAAAAATAAGCACCTGTCTAATTATATTATACACAACTGCATAACCTTAAGAGAAAAATTAGACTTGTAATTTCAAATATAAGCAATGCAATATTTATTAAGAAAATGAGCATTACCTCAACCATGGAAAACAATTAACCTTTTTTTTTTAATTTTAAATGACAGTTCAATTTACAGAATTAGTTTACAATGAGAAGAAAAAAAAAACTATGCAAAACTAAACTATATTACAAGATTTAATGAAGAAATCAGTTCAAAATATAGAAAATAAATAATAATAAGCCATATAAATTGTATTTGTTTGGCACCAAATAAAAAATACAATTTATTTTTCCACTCATATTAATATTTAAATAATTTAACTTAAATCAAAATTCTGAACAATTTTTAAATTTTCACTGCATAACTGTTTTCCCTTAACATATATTCCAAGCAAAGTAATTTAAGTAAAAAAGAGGCACATTTCTGAAATCAGAAGAAGGGAAATTCCTTCATGCAGTCTCCTTTAACAGTAAAAGCTTAACTAACCCGCATACTCGGAAATTGCCAAATATTCTGGATAGTAACTGGAAAAAGAGGAGTGGGGGGAGATAGTAGCCGTTCTTTAGATTTCTCGGCTAAATAAATGATTTTGACATTTCGATATGTGCATCATATAAAAACAGACCAACGGAACTGAGAAATATTCTACTTAAAAAGCACAGAAAAACTCTTTTAAGTGTTCATAAACAAATCTCAGACGGAACATCAAAATGAATTATCTCTGCAAAATACCGCAAATGTTATTGCGCAATACATGCGGCGTAATTCTTCCACGTGATATTACGCAATCGGAATCAACAGCTGCCAGTATTCGGAGAATAAAGAACTAAATAAAGGAAAAGAAAGAGACTTACTAATTTGGGGTGTTTCTGATTCTAATTTTCAACAGACTGCGTTAAATTTCTGGAATAGAATCAATCTTCGCTTAAGTTGCGTAGACCGCAAAAACTTTTAGTCCTATTCAATCCAGATTGGACAGTTGGGGGGGGGGAATCCGCTGCTTCAATATTAGAGATTTTGAGGAGAAAGTGGAGAACCTCCCAACCTCCGTACTGTATAATGTATTGGGGGGGAAAGAAATTATTTTGACTATTCGATTACCTTCCTTTTATTTAAGCCATTCCGAATATTATTCCCTAGAAAGCTAATCTGTGTAAAAACACATGCATTTTTGGAAGTTTATCTATACTTCAGCAGTTACTGCAACTATATGATTATAAATATTCATGCATATACTCATAATATAAGCATAACGATCATAATAAACACGAATATGAACTGACCACGCGGAACGAGAATGCAAATTATTAAAATCTTGATAGAAATTCAAACGTGTGTAGTATTTGGGTGGGTGTTGGTATATTTAATTATGTAATTATGGCAAAGCACACTAGGGCTATCTGCCTAATGGGAGGGGTGCCTTCGAGGAGGACTTTCTAAGAGAAACTGGCTCGTATACACGTTACACATGGGGAAAACCACTATGTATTTGGGTGGGAGGAAAAGAATACCGAATGTAACGGAATTTTCTACCATTTTCACAATTCTTTGACCAATAGAACGACGTGCACCTGTCTGTACTCTCGTGCGCACCATAGGTTACGGTAATGCAGAGAAAGGGGGGAAAAGCAATTTCCGGGAGTATGATTCACCATCTGACATTGCATATAAGGAAGAAAAGTTGTTTATTTAGTTTCGGCTTCGTACGGGAAAAAAATGCACGTTCAATTAAAAAAAAAAAAGCGCTAAAAGCAAAAACTAAGCACTAAAAACAATAAAAAAATAGAGCTTTAAAAAAAGGTAAGCACCTATAAGGGCCTTTATTTTTATTTTCAATATAAGGACTTATAAGCACTTGTAAGGACCGCTACGAACCCTGTTCCAATAAATATAAAGATTTAGGGAAATTTACAGAAACTTAAAAAACTATCAGACAAATTAACTGGTCTACAAATATTTAAAGAAAAAAAAAAACTTATATAAGTTAGATATCTATGAGCTTTATCACCTATTATCCCACAAAGAACACCATTAAAGTTTTTAATTTGCCCCCACATGCACTTCGAAATCTCAAATTATGTCACTGGCAATGAAAACATATGTAATAAAAACATACATAAAAAGATGCACTATAGCACACGATACCACTAAAATAGGTTCTTAGCCAAATTATACTAATATTGAGCTGAATTAATGCCACATGAATATCTGCTTAAAACATACTATATGATCCTGGTCATCTCTGCCTGAAATAATTCATCATTCAATGCAATGAACTATTGTAATAAAAGGTGATCTTTTACAGTTCTTGGTTGGTTTATTTAGTTTGTTCCTAAACACATTTTGTAACAAAGCAAATCTTAAATAACTTAATTTCCATATGAAATGCAGCTGGTTATTCTGGCATTGCTTCTAAGAAGCACAGAAAAGTCATGCTATTTCAGAAAGAGTTTAATTGCCTGATATATACACTAGCTTTTACTAATATTTAATTTTTTGTGTCTAGAGAATAACAAACATAGCACATACAATAATTTGTAACCAATATAACAATATTAACATATTGTGCTAACAGACAGATAATTCATATTGGAAAACAGATGACCTAAACTTATGGCATGGATGTATACAGAACAACATTCCAAAAGTATTTTCTCTTTCCTATTATTTTCCTTCACAGGAAACATTTAAAAAAAAAAACTCTAACTTAACTTACAGTAAGAATGCAGCATATAATATACATAAATGAACATATTATATATTAATCTATTTTTTACATACATGGATTTTGAATTTTGCAGTATGTTGACGCCCTTAACCACTGCATACTTCATGGGTCAACTGTTTACTAAATTTTTCATAAACTTAATTATTAAACCACTTAGTAGTTAAAATCAGCTTTTTGACTAATTATACATTCTGGAGATATCAACAATAAATGTTAATTCAAATAAAAAATACTTCATTTATTTGCATTTCCCAAACTATCCCAAAATATCATAAGTTTATTTGCATTTTCATCTCACAACAAATTAAAAGTTACACTGATTTTTCTTTAGAAATTTTTGACATTTCTTTAGAATAATACAGTCAAAAGTCGTTAATTCGGACACCCATAATCCAGAATGATCTATAATCCGGACATCAAAGCTACAAACTTTCTGCGCATGCGTCGCGTTGATGCATGCGCGTAAGACTTTTACGGCTGTGAATATGCATGTGCATACATTTACGCATGTGCGTTTAATGTATAATGGACGGTATAAGCTAAAATTATCTAATTCAGTTAATGTTGCAGATTGCGTTGTTCCTTAATCTTCGAATTGGATCCGGCTTATTATTTTTGCAGACTGTTAGAGCAATTTTATAAAAGTAAGCTTGAACTTTCGATTATGTCAACTAGAATTTCCGATATATATTTACTAATATGTAAGGATCTACAAAGCAAAGTATGTTTTCGAAGTCCATTAAACAAAAGTGGAATTGCTGCAAAAAATGGATAAAGGCATATCCTTTGTTATCAAACATTCCGAAATCTGTTTATCAATTTCACTGCTGGCCTGCGGGTGGGGGATGCCAAAACGCACGCGCAATGAATTGGAAGTTGATCTGTCAGCACTATCCTTATCTTCAGGGCAGATGTTTTTATTTTATTTGGCTTATAATTCCTTACTAAATGTAGTATTTCATCTCGATGTATACTCCGTCTTTGATATGATTTAAATCAAATTCCTTGTCATTAAATTCGCTTCGATAGTGAAGAAAGTGACAGAGGTTATTGAAAACGAAAAAATTTCGATTGACAAATTAGTCGGTATTCTCGACACAGCAATTATAGGACTTGAACAGCGGAACTTTGTAACTGAACAAGAAATTATGTCTGTTTATAGAATTAAAGAAATGTATTATCACATAAAACGAAGCAACTTAAAACAACTTACATTGAAAGAAATGTTTAATAAAGTAAAACAATAAATATTAAGCTTTTTTTTTTTTTTGTAAATTTTGATACCCTTTAGATCATAATTGTTCTTTATTTCATAAATTACGGTTTCATATTTTTAATTTTATAATTTCTGCATGCCATCTTACCAGATTTAAACTGATGATCTATAATCCGAAAAATTCGATAATCCGGAAATGCCGAAGTCCCGACGAGTCCGGATTAACGACTTTTGACTGTATAAAGATTGAGTTAACCTGTGATGCAATCGCATTTTAAGATATGCAAATTAAGTTTATCCAAAACCTTCCAACTTATATGTAGAGGTCAATAATACAGTCAATGAGCATTTAAATGCAGTTGTCAGTTTTACAGATCTCTTATAAAAATATAAAATGAAGATGTAAACAGAATTTTTTACTTTGACATGAACGTAAGATTTTAAAACTATCATTTTTTAGAAATAGTTTTATAAAAATAACACAGAAATAGAAGAATTTCAAAAATATCTCTGCATCCGAATACGTGTTTCCACAATTTTCAATAAAACAAAGCATAGACTTTTCGCTTTTCTAACACAATATCGCATAAAAAAATTCAAAATCCAAATTTGGTAAATAGTAAACTTTCAGAAACAAGCCAGTTGACATTCCAGATGATAATCTACACAGCAGATGCACATTAACAAACTATCAGCTAGAAATTTATTTTAGAGACACTTCTCAAAATAAAAACTGATATGCATTTTATTAAAACACTGAACAAATCATATTATTACAAGAAATGAAATGTAAGCTCTCATAAAACTCCAGATACTTTGCAAATAAAATTGCAGAATCCATAGTACAAATAATGGAAGGCTAACCATTGTGTATGTCTGAAAAGTAATGATCAAAATCAAGTTGAGTCTTAAAATAACATTTAATATAAAAAATACAGCTTAACAAATGTACATATCTGACATTCTTAAAACTTATTCCTCGGCTCATTGCAAATTCATAAAACATATTTTTGAATTAGTTTTCAACTAAAAACATTTCCATAATATTCATAAACTTGAAAACATACAATATATATTATTAGGCACAGAAAGATTGCACAATGCCCTACATAATTTTGGAAGAAATTAATGTAAAAATGTACAAGTTTATGATTTATTTTACAAGAGTTTAATTTAACATTTAATAGGCTGCACAAGAACATAAAGATTTCATGCATGAAAATAGTTTTTATTTGTACGTAAAGGGGAGTAATAAATCCTTGCAGTTAACAATGCTTCTCTGTAAAAAAATAACATTTCTGTTTGGATATTTACAAAAGCTAATGCTTAAGATTCTTCTCACTTTCATAAGAACGATGCGTATAATGAGCTGGGAAAAAAAAAAAAAAAATTATTAAGTGTAAAACATAGACGTTTTCAGTACAAATATTATATACATGCATTATTACAAAGAAAAAAAAACTTTTACACTGGTTGATTAGTCCCTTGTAATTAATATACATTCATTCCAGTAATGGAAATTTTGCACATTTATACTCTGTCATTACTATGTTATGCTCCTCATAGCCAAACACACACAGCTAAAAACATCATGAGCATACAACCATCACTGACCAAATTTGGATGTGGCTGACATTTCAGGTCCTTAAGCTGAAAATGGCAGGGATTTGTCATGGGAATACAAAGACAATTCAGATCAGAATGATAATGGCTGTGAAACTTTTCTAGAGCTTTGAATGGCTAAACTAGAAATGTAACAAAAAGCTTGAACGTATTTTAGAAAATAAAACTCTTGTCTACCTGTAAAATCTAATTTTAATATAACGAGCCCCCAAACTATTTGAAAAGAATTGTCAAACTTAGCAAATTCAAACCTGACAAATTCTAATATCCAATTTTGATTTTTCTTTCATTTAATGCTAATTGCATCTTAAATATCAATTTTTAATTAAAAAATTTAAAGCTTTTAAGTCAAATTTGGAGGAACCTCATATTAAAAAAAAAAAAATGAGTTTAGGCACTCCAAAATATCCCTTTCCTGGTTAAAAAAAGGGTTACTTTTTTTTTTTTTTGGCTGTGATGATGTCAAGGATGGAAAGTGTTAAATTGAAGAAATGAAAAAGTAGAAATTTTCTTAATTTTTCTTGGTGCAGGCGGGTGCTAATATTATATTTATATATTAGCACCCACCCGCGGGTTCTAAATATTATATTTAGGAAATTCAACTTAAACAGCTTAACTATTATATATAGAAAATTTTAGGGAAAAAAATAAAATTTTACTGCTTCCATTCAATGCGCAACCCGCAAGTGGTGCTTTGCCTCTAAACAGAAAAAAAAAAAAAAAAAACTATGATAATAAAGTAAATTCAACAAATTTGATACAAAATGATTTTAAGAGAACGATCAATCAATGATATAGTTCATCTTAATGAAGAAGTAGTAGCATAGCAATCACTAGGATTAAGATTTATTGTTAAGTCTCGGTCATCATATTCCATGTATTTGTTAAGTGATGACTTTAACGAAAAGTTGATATATAACCTAAAATAATATTTGGGGAGGGAGGGTGTAGCATGAAGAAGACTATTTTGCAGCTAAAGGTATAATGTTGAATTAATTGCGTCTAATCTGGTTATATATTATAATTATAGCAAGTTCTGCTTTCTTTAGAAATTTAACATCTCTTGCTATCTCCTTCATTCTTAGAACTTTGAGATAATCTAAATGCCCCTAAAAGGCTGGTATTTCCTACTTTTAGAAATATTAGTGTGCATGGAAAATCAATATTAGCATGTCATGCCTCTGATATTATACAGTAAAAACCTTATGCTCTCAGAAGATTTGATGGTAAATATGGTGAAAGAGGAAGAAACATTTACAGCTAATTATTACTAGCTAGCATTGTAAGGCTCACTCTCACTCACTTGAACATGAAGCTGAGTAAAGAAGCTGTCAATATAGACATGGTAATGGCAACAGTTTCCCAAAGAATTGTTGGCATTTATTAATGACAAAGTTTATCTACCAAAGCAAGTTTTCAGGGCCATAAAGAACTTGTCTTTCAATGAACACTAAAGACCTTGTCAACACTTCTCAGTGCCAATAAAAACTAAGAATATTCTGAAGAAAATGCCAGAGAATATATATAACAAGAAATAAAAAAAAAAAAAAAAAATTGTATGTAAGGGAGAAAAGCACATAAAAAAAGAAGTTATTGACTTGCAGTTCCACAAATCAAAAATATACATTTTGCAGTTAAATTATTGCTAGCAGCTGCAAAATTAAACCTGAGTCAATTATTCCAAAAACTTTAAAATATTTGAAAGTTATTACCCAAGGTTTACTTTATCATATTTGCCAACCTACGACACTCAAAAATCAGGAGATTTTTCACAATGTTAAAAAGACTTTTTAAATGATAAAAATATAGTTTTAATAATGAATTAACTTTAAATAGTAACTAATTCTTAAATGCAAGCAAAACAAAAATACCTTATACATAAAAAACATTTTCATTACTTGCATCGTTTATGAAAAAAAAAAAAAGACACTTTAATCAGTTTTCGTACAAATGTTATGAACAGTGTCAGATTTTGCTTTCTTTAAGAAAGAAACTTCATAATTTTGTTCACAGCAATTGCCACGTAGGCCTGCTTTCGCTAATAAAAGTTTTTCTAATGTGTCATCACTAGTATTAGATCTAAATTTAGTCCTCGTTTTCTCACCAAAACTGAGAATCCTCTCACACTCTGCATTACTATGGGAAACTGTCAAGATGGCCAACACAATTCTAGACAGTTCACTATATTTTAACATTAAATCAGCACCTTTCAATTTTCCAATTAAACTCTACTGGGTGTCAATCTTAGCTGATTTTATAACTTCATCCAAGTTTTCTAATTGTAAACTGCTGTTATGCAGCTGTTGGAACTGTTTCAATTTTTCCTTCCTCTTAGAACTCCTTTCAAGATAATAATAAATATCAACAATGTTTTCATCCATATTTAGTGGTAAAGAAGCTGCCCCTTTTTCAGCTGCTAAATTTAAGAGGTGACAGGTGCACCTCATAATCTGAAAATCTGAATTTTCCTTTCTTAAGATGCCTGCAACACCAGTCTTCCAAGCCTACCAATGCTGGTGCATTATCGGCACCAAGTGCTAAGCAATTATCCAGAGGGCCTGCATTTTCTTTTGTTTAGTTTTAATAATTAGTTAAAGTTTTAATAATTAGCTGTGCTATATTAAAGCCTGTCAAATGTCCTTCTAAAGTGGGAACATAAAGTAAACTGCACTCAATTTCTGAAGACTCTGGATCAAAAAAAGAAACAACAATTGGATATAGTTTTGAATCTGTGTTATTGCTTCCATCCGTAGAGAGGCAGAATGGAGCTGTTTTAATGCAATCAACAACTGAAGATTTATTTTTCAAACCCATTTCTTTAACAATTGCACCTGTTTTGATTCCTGCACCTTGAGTATTTCTTAGCGATTTGGCTATCGGGAAACATTTTTCTAAATAAAGCTGCAGCGTGATCCGATGCATTCAGTGGCAGGTTGTGCTCCAGTAAAAAGGCAGAGAACAGACATTCTGCATTAATAACTTTTTGGTCCTTTGTTTCCGAAGAAAAATTTAATTTTTCGTTTTTTTAAAAACAACTTATGTTATCCTTGTGTTTTTGTGTACACACATGTTTGAGAACATCCGCCCTTCCACCATGCGAAATCGAAAAATCGCAACGACAGGCGGTACACATCGCAAATTTATTACATTTCCTCGAGGAAATAATGGAAGGAAAGTCAACTGTGTACGATTTTTGAAACGTACACGAGTTTTTCACCTTTCTCGCAGACGTAACAAAAGATGATAATTTCTAAAACTTTCTCTAAGGCACGTGTACTCATACAACTCAGGACAAAATAACTAAAGAACGTCCAAATAACAACTTGCTTTGTCCTCATTGGCTAATATATGCCAGCTGACATGCAGTGGAGCTCGAAGTCCATTGGACAACTGGAGAACGTTTCTGGATATGTATAATGCTCTCACTCACAAAGCAGAAGCTATCTCATTCGCAAGGTTTTGTTTTAGATATAATGTAGAGAAAATTCAATTGCTTTCAGACATCCAAAAGCACTTTTTCTTTATTCATATAACAAAGTATTAAGCCAAGTTGCATAAAAATCGTGAGAAATTTTAAGAATAAAAAAAGTCGGGAGAAATATATTGTAAATCGGGTTGGCGGGAGAGTGGTCGAAAATCGGGAGTCTCCCGCCTAAATCGGGAGAGTTGGCAACTCTGCTTTATGCTGTGTGGAAGACATTTCATCTGCCTTTCCCAGCACAAAAAAGGCCTGCCTTTCAACACAGATACCCCTTTCCAGTAGGTCATATGCAAGGGCTAATTTAAGTAGTGTAGCAGTATCACAGGCCCCACAGCATGTTTTGTTTAACCAATGTTTAGAAATATGTTCCATTACAGTAAATATCAGTTATTTATAGCAGTAATTATTTTTTTTAATTATTAGTATCAAGAAGTTTCCGAAGACCACAACATAACAAAACAAAAATAAATGTTAAAATTACATGAACATGAAACTGAAAATGCTATTTTGAATACCTATTTCTCATTTAAAGATTTACTTCCTTAAAGTATAAAGCTTATAGGAACATTAAATATAGTGATGCAGAAAAACACTAAAAGTAGTGACGCAAAGAAATAAACTTTCCAAAATAAATCTTTGATGATGATATTTTCAATATGTTTTGCTAGAAGTCATCAATGAGCTGGCTTCCTGAAGATTTCACAACTTCTGTAATATAAATGTTGCATCGATATACTCAAACAGAACTGCTTAATGTGCCCCTATTCATTAATTTACTTGAGTATTGCATTTACATATCTGGAATAATTTGTTTAATAAAATTTTATACAGTATGAATAATAAGCATAATGCAGTACACATTGCCAAAAACATACAAAAATAAATATGCTTCAGTAAGTCCAAAATCAAAAATAATAATAATAATAGTCATTCCTGCTACAGGCTAGAGAAAAGCAGACTGAGCTCCAGGCCAGCAGATGGCTTTCTCAGCACTAGATATAGCTACAATCTGCAAGGCTGTGTACCTTGATGTGAAATGCTATTGTCTCTGTCTTTCAAGTCAATATATCAAGGCCTCTCAGTAAACTTTTAAACCTTTTGATCTCTGCAAAACTTTGTTAGAGCTGTGACTTTGTTACAGCTGTGAAGGAAACATCTAAGATATGTACAGGCCATCATCTAGAAGCCGATTTAACTGAGTATTTTCATTATGTCTAATCACGAATATCCACACCAAACTTTGTTGCATTGTAAAATGCTATTGA